CGGCGTTCCCCTCGGAAGCGCGGTGCATGGCCGCGCCTCCTCCAGCCTAAAGGGAGTCGGGAGCGGGTGTGGGGCGAGTTAAAAGGCCCCACCTTCTTCCAGACCGCGCTCTCGGGGACAAACGACTCGGTTAAGTTTTAGGGCTGGTTTCGCTTTTTTTCTATAATATTTTTTAACGTATAATTTACATACAATGAAATGCAGATTTTACGAGTCCACAGTGTAATGTTTTGGACAAATGCATACACCCATGTAACCACTCAAAACATTTCCATCACCCCCAAAAGTGCCCTTGTTGCGCCGCTGAAGTCAATCAGAACTTTTCTATGACCGTGGTTAGATTCGCCTTTCCTAGAAATTCACGCGCGCGCGTCCTCTTTGAAGGCTCTTTTCGCTCTTTAGTGTTGGGGCTCGCCCACGCCGCCCTCTCACTGGTGGGTGGCGCCACAAGGTATCCATCCACCAGGCGATGGGCCTGCTGCTCGTTCCCAGGTTAGGGCCGTTATAGAACACGCTTCCGCAACCCTCCTGCGCGTATGTTTCCTTTCCGGTGGCTCAGTACCTAGGCGCGGAGCGGCTGGGAAGGTGGGCGCAGCCTCGGGCTCGCCTCGCTCCCGGGCGCCTTCTGGCAGGTGGACTCCCTACCCGAGGGCCCCCTTCCTACCCGGTGGGACGGCAGCTGAGCCGGTGTGTGGTGTTGACATTAACTGGAGAGCCTCCAGAACTGCCTACCCTGACCGGAGTCCACCTGCTCTAGCAACTTTTCAAGTGTCCCAACATTTTCATTGTAAATAATTAACTTTAAAAATCTGAAATCTTAGCTTTTTAGAAAAGCTAAATATTTCAAGTTCAAGAGATGTTTAAGCCTAATTATACCCATGCCATACAATTGTTTTTCTATTGTAGGCACTGAACAACCAAGAACATTTTCAACACTGATAACTAAAGCAGAACCTTTGACAAATAACTAGCACTAAAAAAGGCAGGAAGGAACAGTACATATTACCCAAACCAAGAAAGAAAAACACGTAAAACCGTTTTAAATTAGAAAATGAATTCATAGGCAAGTTGAATCAAACAACCTGAACTTAAAGTCATTTTGGTTAATTTCCTAAAAAAAAAAAATTAAGTTTCCAGTGAGTCTCCAAGTAAGTTTTGACTGCAAAACAGTCAAGTCACTTTTAATGACAGCCTTAATCTACTTGCATTTTATTTGTTTCTGTGTCCATATTTCCAAGACCTTACGTGGGTGTTAAAATCTCATCTTTACTCTGTTAAAATCACAACTCACAACTAAAGAGTTGCAATTCTTTGGCAAAGTCCCAGGCCGAACCTTGTCTTTTCCAGTACAAGACTAAAGATGTACTAAAAATAACTCATGAAAAATAGGGCAGATTTGCTTGACTCCGAAAAGTAAACAGGCTCTGAGTGGATTCCTGCGGAGGTGACCCCAGATTCAACACATCCTGAATATAAGTAAAATGAAATGCGGGCCTGATCACCCTACTGTAAGGTCTGCAATAGGGCTGGCAACACTATCTACACAGTGTACTTTTAACACTGTAACAGTGAACCAGATGAGAAAGTTAAATGAATATCTATAATCTAAAAGGCCATCATTTTAAAGTAAGAAAAAGCAATTCATACTATGGTTCCAATTATGCTAAAAAGATGACTGGGATGAGACTGGAATGAAATCACGGTTATATATTTTGATAGGAAAACAAATTATAAAGGGTTCAAGAATGAGCATGTATTTTAAACTATAAATTAAAATAAAATTTTATTCAAAGCATCTTTTAAAATTACAGCATGTTTATTCTTATGCTGTTAACTCCGCCAAACTACAACTTAGCTATCTGAAGCATAAAACACTTCAAAAATTTGAATGTAAACCACATTTTTAAAACAAAAAGCAGTCCTAACACACCTCAGATTTTAAATGCCAATGTATTTTGTCCAAGTATATAGCTTATATCAAAAAGAACATTTTAAATATTTCTATAGTAAATAGCTGTAATAATTTCTTAAACTTTCAATTATACAAATAAAATATGTTTGTGAATATAACTATTATAGTTGACAAAAGCTGACTAGAGAAACAAAAACTCTTACTTTTGAAGGCCTTAAATTTTATTATTTTTGAATTGGCAAGTATTTGTATTTTTAAAATTCTTACTCCCCTTCCTTATGTAATTTCATCAAATTTTAAATTTCCCAAGACTGATAAGTGTAGCTTTCTATAGTTCATTTAAGTCGTACTTGAGAGGAAAAATCTAGAGAAAAATGCTGACGCCTAAACCAAGAAAACTCAATGCTACAGTCTCTGTTCCTGTGCTTTTAGCGCTCCAAGTTAAAATTCTGCAATATCAGGTTACAAACAAAATTCTTAGACCATTACAAATATAAATTTTCTCATTACAAAAAAAAAAAGATTTGTAATTTACCGTACTGAGGGTTACATTGTAAAGTGTATCCTCATCATACACATTGTTACTATCACCTTTCACACTTCTGCTCCTTTTCAAGACACTTATACACACTCCCGTCCCCACGGCTACACACATGAAACTCTGTGACTTCAACACACTGGGATTTGAGGAGAAAGAAGCCTACATTTTAGATAATGTTTACACTACATCTGTAGGCTACTACTTGAATTCAAAAAAGAAATAAAAGGCGCTGAAGAGCCCATGTTTCCCTCTATTATTCTGAGATTTACTCCAATTAAACAGTCTATAAAAATTACCATGTTATGCAGGTTATTTAGTCTCTGCTTAAAACGAAAGCTAAAATGACGGAGGCTTATGCCTACATAAAGGAGGTGACCTGCTCAGCTCTGGATTTTTCTGTTCATGCTTCAGTATGTGAAGTGGTGTTTAAAACTTAACCTATCTGGAAAAACGGTTTAAAACCACACAAGTTAACACACATGCAGTTAAAACTATTCCAGAAGCCTACTTGTTTGAGTAGCTAATATTTTCTGCAGTGTTTCACTGATAGTTGAATTTAGTGAGCACAAAAAAGCTTGGCCTGTTATTCTGAAAAGCAAGAAGGTGGCTTTATGCACTGAAAACATAAATAGGCTTTCATTTGCTAATAATTCTAAACAAGCAGTATTATTAAAATTTAGTGTTTGCTAACAAAAGATCTAAAACAGTTCACTACAAAACAACCCTGTAGATGTCCCTTTTATGAATAAAAATCCAAGTGCCAAATCTTGTTACAGGGCCCGTATTAAAAAAAACAATTACCAGGTTACCTAGATTTTGCAAGATTACTCACTCAATTTCAGCAAATGAGAAATATGAAATGTGCAAAGGTTCCCAAGTTAACAAGAGGGGGAGGACAAGTGCTTTTCGAACCTAAACATCATAGGAAGTTGTAAAGCCTCAGAAAGAGAGAATAAGACCGATTTTACTCCAATTTTTAAAATTCTGAACTAATATGCATCTTGCCAAGATCCTCAAATATCTTTTTTCTTCCGAAGTCTGTAACTTAGGACATCTTCCAAAATAGTCAGTTTTCCATTTTCCATTTCTCTGATCGTCTTAGTCACACTATTTTGCAATTTAAAAACATTTATCTTACATACCTCTTACGCTGTCTCGCTTACTTCCGTGCTGACAGTACTGTTAAACACACTAGTACACCAACAATCTGTCCTAACCTTCTTTGGCTACATGTCCCATTCTGCTTTGTTTTTTGTTTGTTTTTTTTTCATAAAAGTGTCTTATTCAGAAAGTGCTTCCTGTGAGAACTGCTTCCAATGAATACATTAAACTTGCAAAAATCTAGCTTCCCACAATACGTAGTTTCCTACCCTGTACTAGAAGTCCCATATTTACAAAATATTTTAAACTTTACAACAATCCATTACCATATAAAAAAGTGCAATTCTCTCTGCCCCGCAGTCTGGGGCAATGACATTCTTCATCCATTACTACAGAATAGCAGCCTATGGTAGCGAATAAGGTGCTTAGCTTATGCCCGAGGATCTACTTTAGAAGCGCCGGCGTCCCGGGCGCAGCGCCGCGCGGCTACTGGCGCAGCGGCG